TTGTTAGGATGTTATGCATGTGTTATTTTTCACCTGCTGTCATAAATTAAAATGAACTAAAATACCAAATGTATGGTTCAAATGTTTCTCTTATAAAACTCTTTGCTTAGGCCACTCTTTCAATTCGCTTCTAGCCATTGGCAAAATGCATTTCCATTTGGTGGCTTTTTAATTGCTTTCCATTATGCAAACTTCTCGCTCTCTCTCTCGCACACAATGCTGTGATTCCTCATAGTTTGTCATCGTTCTTTGGCGTCGTATTGCGGTTGGCTTTCTGGTGGCATTGCCGCCTCCAACTCTCTCACCATGATTCCGTTTGCATAGCCGGATTATACATTTCTAATTCATCTTCATTATGTTTGGAAGGAAACAGCTACATTTCTTAGTTTTAATTTAATTTTAATTGATCTATTGACATTAAGAGTATACACTGCCAAAGGCCGTACCCCTCACCCCACCACCCACCATCGATGGATAATTTAAATACCGCGGATGGTTGGTTGCTTGGTGTGGTGGCGGTGTCGTGTAGCCTTAACGTAGAAATATTGTCAATTAATGCGGAATAGTGAATATAAATTAGTGGAAATTAATTAATGTAACGGTTTATTAAGATGCATGGCATTGAATTGCAATGCATCGCGCGGCTCGGCACGGCCCTGCAATGCAAAGGTGAAGTACATGATTTAATGCAGTTAATGAATTTGTTTTCGTTTTGTAATCAAAGATCCCGGTAACAAGATGTCATTATTCTATGGCTTTGAGATTTTAATTATATTTTACAAGGGCTTCTTTGCAAGGGAAAATTAATTATTTTTTCCGAACTACATGAAAAGAAATGTATATTATATTTTTTCTCAAAAATATATGGTGACATTTTTGTCGTCGAAATCATGTCCTTCGGTGCCAATTGCGAACATTGTACAACTCTGATGATAAACAAGTAAAGAAAGTCTTAAAGTCGGACGGGGTCGGTTTTATGATACCCTACACCACTTTGCTAATTTAGTAGAGCTCCGCATAACCATTAAAAGTTTTTATGGAGAATTCAATCATACACACTATGATTATAATTTAAAGTTCAAAGGACTAAATATGTCGAAGCATTTGTATCTTTTAAATTTGGACTTGTATTGCCCATTTGGTGCACAATTAATTTGAAATCGGATAAAGATATATATGGGAGCTATATCCAAATCGGAACCGATCTCTATAAAATTTGGCAAACATATTTCTGAGTTGTATTTCATATATTTCCTTGAATATTGTTGTTACGGAGTGCATATTACGGCTATGGGTAACGAATATAACAAATCGGATGAACAATATATATGAGAGCTATAGCTATATCTGAACCGATTTCGATCAAATTTTGCAGACTTTTTTTCAGGCCTAATTCGGTCGTAAGTGCCAAATTCCATCCAATTTGGGCAAATATTAAACGTTTGGTGCACAATTAAATTGTAAATCGGACGAAGTTATATATGGGAGCTATATCCAAATCTGAACCGATCTCTATAAAATTTGGCAAATATATTTCTGAGCTGTATTTCATATATTTCCCTGAATATCGTTTTTACGGAGTGCATATTACGGCTGTGGGTAACAAATATAACAAATCGGATAAACAGTATATATGGTAGCTATAGCTATATCTGAACCGATCTTCACCAAATTTGACATACTAGCTTCTAGACTCAATTCGGTCGTAAGTGCCAAATTCCCTCCCATTTGGGCAAATATTAGACGTTTGGTGCACAATAAAATTAAATCGGATCAAGTTATATATGGCATATATCCAAATCTGAACCGATCTCGATAAAATTTAGCAAAGATATTTCTGAGCTGTATTTGATATATTTCCTTAAATATTCTTGTTACGGAGTGCATATTACGGCTGCGGAGGACAAAAATAAGTAAATCGGATGAACAATATATATGGGAGCTATAGCTATATCTGAACTGATTTCGATCAAATTTGACATACAAGCTTCTAGACTCAATTCGGTCGTAAGTGTCAAATTTCATCCCATTTGGAAAAATATTAGACATTTGGTGCACAATAAAATGTAAATCGGACGAAATTATATAGGGGACATATATCCAAATCTGAACCGATCTCAATGAAATTGAGCAAATGCATTTCTGAGCTGTATTTGATATATTTCCCCAAATATTGTTGTTACAGATTGTATATTACGGCTGCGGAGAACAAAAATAACAAGTCGGATGAACAATATATGTGGGAGCTATAGTTATATCTGAACCGATTTCCGATTTAGGCCTAATTTGGTTGTATGTGCAAAATTCCATATTTTTCGGGCTGATATTACACGTTTGATGCACAATAAAAGGCAAATCGGACGGATATATATGTGGGAGCTACATCTAAATTTTGAGTGATTATCTCCAGTTTCAATAGGGTTCGTACTTGAGCCAAACAAATGATCTGTGCAAAATTTCATCTGGATCGGACAATAAATGCGACCTGTACTTTGTTTACAAAAATACATGGATGGACGGAAAGACAGTCAGCCGGACGGACGGACATGCATAAATCGACTCAGAATGTGATTCAATGCAGATCATCAAAAGGAACTATGGGGTTATCTCGTTTCCTTTTGTCTGTGACAAACGAATGCACAAAGACATAATACCTTGACCACCTTGTGGTGTAGGGTATAAAAAGTGTCCAGATGTTGTATTTTCTTCATTAGAGTAAAATTGTACTGTTTTGAAATTCACCGTACGAAGTTCTTATAATCGAATTCTGATGTAATTTATAGTAGCAGGTATATAACACAATTTACAACCACTTAGTACTTTTAGTAGGTTTTTAAGTACGTAATTTCACCCTCGCACACTTATTTGACCCTGATAAAAAATGTCAGTATTCAACGGCACCAAACTGTCACATTTTCCGGATGTATTGGTAGCTGATCTTCACTCCAAAATCCACAATTTGAAAATTTTGCTTATTTACGTACTCTTTGAGGCAAAAATGAGCTTAGTTCGAAAAAAATGTCTGTATCAAATTTTAATTAATTGCGAAGTATAGAGCAAAATAAGGCCGAAATATTTGGCAGAAATATTTGGCAGAAAAAAATCGACCTGCGATTTCCAATAATAAACAAGTAAGCAAAGGCTATGGTCGTGCGGGACCGACCATGTGATACCCAACAACACTACAATAAGTTACAAGTCCCCTTATGTCCAAATCCATTTTGAAAGATTTCGTTTTTGAAATAATCTCATAGGGCCCTGCCCAGGTGTTATCTTTAGGCATTTGACCGAGGACATTTGCCCAATATTTACTCACTACGTCGTGTTGTCAGGTATTCAAAACAATTTCACACCAAAATTGTGGTCAATTTTACAACTAAATATAATCCAATGATCATCCAAAATGCTCGACAAATTCCCTGTCCTTAACCTCCAAAATTTCGTGTCGATTGATTTTCAATTGGGACCTGTATAGCCTCTGTCCGAATGTATATCTTCAAAAATAATAGGATTTAATTCTGAACCTAAACCTACCCTTATGCCAAATTTCGTTAGGATCAGACAATAATTGTGACCTGTATATAACACCCTCAACACACAATGTTGCAGGGTGTAGAAAAGTTTTTGAAAATGTACAATTCAAAACTGTAATTCAAATTGAAAATATCGCATGCGATAAAAAATATGGCAATAATTGAAAAAATATAACAAAAAATTATCACTTTTTCGTTGGCAGATTTTTACGCGATTTTCTTAGATTTTACCCCTTTCTGGCAAGACCCCATTACAAATTAGTGAAAATTGTGCCTATGTCGCTACATAACCGATATGTAGGCTATCAGCATCACTGTAATGGTCAGTGGTGATCTTCTAATCAATTTGTGATTTGGCCGAGATTAAAAATATTCGCGGTTTTGTGGAAATTTTCGTATTTTTCGACATTAAAGTTATGGTTTGTTTTATCCATTAAATATTGACCGATGACAGTTCAAATTGGTAAGCTTCTGTCCAGCCCTAAACTCTAACTCCATCCAAAATTCCGCGTTGATTGGTTTATAATTGCGGCCTGTAGAGCAACTGCAATATGAGGACATTGTTCACTATTTTGTCCATTTCAACCCCTTTAATATTGTACGATCATCGCAAAAAGAAATTTACTGATCATCAAATTTTTCACGAAGTAAGGGTCAGAGACCTATTGTTTTTTGAGTTTCTCTCAAAATATTTACTTGCTTAACCAAAAATTTAAAAGTGTACTTCGCTTTACAAAATATACACTTCAATATATTAAGTCAAATTGAAAAAATCGCATGCGATACAAAATATGAAAAAATAAAAAATGTTACAAATTTCTCAGAATCGATCCAGTCATTCTTGAGATATAAGCCTTCTAGCTGACATCGCCTTCCTTTGTATATAAACATTGTGTATATGTCGCTATATATATTCGATATATTTACTATCAGCATCTACGTAACGATCAGAACTGTTCGTCTATTTGTGATTTCGCCGGGATTAAAAATATTCGAGGTTTAATGGGAAATTTGGCTTTTACTTAACACAAATGTTATGGCCTATTTTACCCACTAAATATTGCCCGATTGCCATCAAAATTGGAAGACTTCTGCCCAGCCTTAAGCTCAAGCCCTGCTAAATTCCTAGTCGATTGGTCTGTAATTGCGACCTGTAGAGCAACTGAAAAATCAGAAAATTTTTCAGTTTTTATACGATACGAGGGTATAAAAATGTCAGTATTTAGTATTCAACGGCACCAAACTGTGACTTTTTTCGGATGTATTTGTAGCTTTTGCAATGCTTATGGCTGATCTTCACTCGAAAATCGACAATTCCACAACTTTGCTTATTTACCTACTCTTTGCTCTCAACTTCACATGGAATTTCCCACCCCAAACCTTGCGATTTCCAATGAAAAAGTAAACAGTTATTTATTTTTCTTTTTAATTATTCTATTTATAAATAGTATAAACATACACTATATACAAGATGCAAATATATTACCAACAACAACAACAAAATTAACATTAATTAATACTCATTTAAAGGAAACAAAAACATCTCAACACATCTACCAAAAAAAAAAAAGAAGGAATCCCTTTCGTTTATCAGTTTGATATTATCACCAACCTCAAATAGCGACTAAAGTTTACGGTTCCTCTGAAAGGATACATCTTTGCCACAAAGGTAGGCGGCTGCGAAAATTCCCAAATAACACCACCGACTACGCCTAAAATCAACTCAAGGATTTTAGGGAAATTGTTGAAGGTGTTGTGGGATTAGTCGAAGATGGAGTTGAAGAAATATTATCGCCCTCGCAGATGGCATCATCTTCATTATCGCTATGGTGATACAATTTGCTGGCTAAAGACAAGGGACTATCTTTTCTCAAATTCAGCTGACAATGCCTGGCAGCTATGTTCCGAATGGTCTGTTCATAGTGTTTGGGAAAAGGTCGACGTTGAAACCAAATTGGTGAGGTTTTGTTTTGAAAGAGAGAAGGAGAAAATATGGGTGCCGTGTTGGAGAGACAACTCGACGGTTGGATTGCAACTTCATTGGTTATTATTGCCATAGATTTAGTTCTCGTCATTGGCGGAAATTTTATTGTTGTTGTTGTTGCTGCTGTCTGCTCCATTGTTAAATCACTTGACGATAATGAAAAATGCCTGCTGCTCCTCGAAAGTATTTGTTTGCTACGACAATCAGTGTTTGAATTTATGTTCACATCATTGTTGCAATTTGTTGGATGCGTTTGGTGTTCGAATGGTTGTTTCTGCCTTGTCCCGGGGGCTGGCTGACATTGTCGTTCAACAGTTGTTGCCATAAAATCTTCTCCCTGAAATTGATTTGTGTTTAGCTGATGTTTGGCTGTTGCAAGTTCACATTGTTCCTGGAGTCCCCCACATCCTCCTCCTCCTCGTTTGACTTGATAAGCTTCTTCTAACCCGGATAATATTGATCGGTTGACCGTGTCACTGACAGCATTTGCATTTGTATCGATGTTATTTGTTAGATTTTCCATTGAATATGCCTTGAAATTGAACAGTTTCGTTAGCAATTTATTGCAGCGCCCATTCGTTGCCATTCGTTTGCTTCGTTGCGAGCTCTGAGACATATCTGTTTTATGTTTTCCCTCCGACGAAACCACCTCCACCATTGACCTCTGGACTCGGGTCCTCTCTGGCATCAATGACATGGTCGCCAATGACGACCATTCCGGGGATTTATGAAGTTGCCTCTTTAAGGCAACACATTCCAGTGTGGTCTTAACCATCTGCAATTGTCTATTATGGCGTCCAAAGATTTTCTGACGCACTTTATCTTCGTTGCGACATAAATCGAAGGCACTCGTTATGGCCGTTTGGAGTTGTTCAGCAATTAAAGCCGGCCGTGGATAATAACGATCTCGGCAAACGGGACAATTTTCAGCTCGAATACGACACTCGACACACAACAAATGACCATTTTGGCATTGCATGGCGGGTGGAGTGATTGTGTCACGACAAACCGGACATTCCAGAACGTTAAGTACGCATTGGACGATTGTGGAGAGGCGTTGTAATGTTTGCGGCATGGGAGCGGCACATAAACTCTGCAATGAAAAGAAATGAAGAAAAAGGAGAAGAAAATTGCAGTTCATTTAAAAAAAATTTAATTGAAAAGAAGAAAAAAGCTGTAAAGGCTAATCGGACGAAGTTATATTTGGGAGCTACATCCAAATCTGAACCGATCTCGATAAAATTTAGCAAATGTATTTCTGAGCTGTATTTGCTATTTTTCCCCAGAATATCGTTGTTACAGAGTGCATATAACGGCTGCGGAGGACAAAAATAACAAATCGGATGAACAATATATATGGGAGCTATAGCTATGTCTGAACCGATTTCGATCAAATTTGGCATACTTATTTTCAGGCCTAATTTGGTTGTAAGATCGGCTGGGCCGAACTTTGAATACCCTCCACAATTTGGTACAAATTCAACATTTTTTCAAAAAAAATCCGTTAAAAATTCTGTTAAAATCTTAAAAATACCGAATGTAGCCGTATATTAGGGTCTATATGAATATTACAACTTTGAATATTACAATATTCAAATGCGAAACTTGAAAAAGTCTGTTTATAATGTAGCTAAAATCATCAAAATATAGGGTGGTACCATGGGGGTTATAAAACGTGGTCCTGCACCGACGATTTTCTGGCATAGGCTGTAGTATCCATTACGAACTTCAAATACAAAATTTGAAATAATTCCGGTAAATAATGTCGCTAAAATCATCAAAATACCGAATATCGGCTGGTACCGTTATATGGGGGCTATACGAAGACATGGACCTACATGGCCCATTTTCTGTCCTAAGCCGAATTATCTATTACGAACTTCAAATACCAAATTTGAAACAATTCCGGTAAATAATGCGCTAAAATCATCAAAATACCGAATTTGGGAAGGTACCGTTATATGGGAGCTATACGAAGACGTGAACCTACATGGCCCATTTTCAATACCAAAAGTCCTGCAGACATAATACACAGTTTAGTAAAATTTTATCAACCGACTTCATTTCGTTCGGAAACTATAGTGGTTTCCACAAACGGAGAGACGAAAAGACGGACGGAATGATAAACTCCCTCCATACTATGGTGGAGGGTATAAAAATAGTGGATTAATGGAGGTAGAGAAGATGGAGGAGTACTTTCTCGTGATCCGTAAAACTATTTAAAGGCTGATCAAAAAAGAAACATGGATAAATGGAGGAAAATAATTTTGTGATCGGTAAACTTGTTTAATGGCCGTTTGATGCTATTGCTAGGCCCATATCTTTTCGGGAGGATTCTAAAAAATCACTATATAAAATAAATACTTTCATTAAAATAATTTTCAGAATTTTTTAATTTTTTTTCAGGGTCTTTCTGAGATGTTACAGTGAATTTTGAAAATGCCCAGGAAATTTCAGAGCCTTAGATGTTATAATATTCAATATTTCAAGAGTTATCATGATCCGGGATTTTGAAATATATATTTTTTTAAGGACTGTAAGCTAAAATCGTAGATTATTGAAAACAACATTTTAATGACCTTAAAAGCGGAACTATGTTTTTTTTTAATTCTAATTAAAAACAAGTTAAAAAGCGGTAAGTTCGGCCGGGCGGAATTTTGAATACCCTCCACCATTTGGAAATTTTCAAAAAATAAAATCCTTAAAAAATCCTGTTAAAATTTTAAAAATACAGAATATATTCGTTATATTAGGGCCTGTACGATGTGCACCTACATAGGCATTGTTTGTCACAAGCCATTACCATATTCAAATTCGAAACTTGAAATAAACGGTGAATAATATGGCCAAAATCATCAAAATGCCGTACATAGGAAGTTACCGTTATATAGGAGCTATACGAAGACCTGGACCTGCATAGATAATTTTCTGTCACAGGCTGTAACTTCCATTACGAACTTCAAATACGATATCTCAAACAATTTCGGTGAGTATTGTACCTAAAATCGTCAAAATACCGAATATAAGGAGGTACTGATATATGGGGCCTTTTCGAAGACCTGGACTTGCACAGAAAATTTTCTATCTCCGGCTGTAGTATCCATTTCGAACTTCAAATGCCAAATATGAAACAATTCCGGTGATTATTGTTGATAAAAACATCAAAATACCGAATATCGGGAGGTACCGTTATATGGGAGCAATATGAAAACGTGGACCTATATCGCCCATTTAGAACTGTTTTGTTTGTAATTTATGAACTCGAAAACCGCTGAACAGATTTTCCATAAAATTTCCAAGTAAAATAGTTCATCGCTTGAAAGAAACATAGGGTATATATATTTTAGGGTATATCTTGAAATTAGAGATATAGCATCAGAATCGGAGGTATCTCCCAGAAATGTAGATCTTATATGCATATATCTATTGATCGATTGCAGATACACTCTCCAAATTCGGAATGCGTAACGGAATTTGGAACAAAAAAAATTGCCAAATTATATTGAAATCGGTTAAGATTTCGATATAACTCCCATATATATTTTCGGCCGTTTTTACGTATTTGATGCACTCAATGCTATATTTACGTCCGATTCCAATAAAATTCGGAGTGAGAGACGAAATTTGGTACCAAAAAAAATTTGCCAAATTATATTGAAATCGGTTGAGGTTTGGGTTAGATCCCATATATATTTTCGAACGATTTCACATATTTGATGCACCAAACACGACACGTATGTCCGATTCCAATGACATTCGGTATTAGTCCCTAAATTTGGTACAAAAATAGTATTGTCAAATTATAGTGAAATCGGTCGAGGTTTGGGTATAGCTCCCATTTTATACATATTTCGATCGATTTCATGTATGTTATGCCCCAAACACGATATGTATGCCCGATTCAAGTAAAATTTACAATGTCTTTCGGAATTTGGTTACCATAATAAAAATCATCATCGTTAGAGCACTCCAGTATTTAAATGTGAATAAATCTTTTGTGTCTTGTACCATCGCTCGTTATCGTGATACTGGTAGCATAGCCATACGTCAAAGAAGTGGACGGAAGAAAACAGCAACATCAGCAGAAATGGTTCGAAAAGTAAAGAAGGGGACTTGATCGAAACCCGCGTCGCAGTGGCTCGTGAGCTGATCATATCGGAATATTCCATTCGGAAATTTTGAAAAATGAGCTCGGGGTAAAGCCATTGATATTTCAAAAAGAGCAAGAACTTACACCGCAACAAAAAGAAAATAGACTCATAAGAGCTAAAGAGTTGCTTCGCTTGGCCGAAAGTGGTGAACTGCCGAATTTGGTTTTCTCCGAAGAGAAAACATCGTTATCCAGCAGTTTGTAAACAAACAAAATGATCGTGTCTACTTGCCAAAGAGGTCAGCTGAAAATGTGCACCTTCGGTTGGCCACCAGAACTCATGCGCCGGCCATGGTGATGCTGTGGGCCGCCATAACAGCTAATTGCTATTCTCCGCTCGTATTAATCGACCGTGGCATCAGAATAAATGCCAAATATTATCGCGAAAATATTGTGGAGGACGTATTAAAACCTTGGGGACGCAAACATTTTGGCCGCAGATCTTGGACATTCCAACAGGACTCAGCACCATCGCACTCAGCACGCGCCACCCAAGAATGATTACAAAATGAGCTTCCTCGCTTCATTTCCAGGCCACCAAAATATCCGCATACAAATTCGTTGGATTATTGTGTCTGGAGTATTTTGGAAAGCAGGGTTGGCACTAAAAAATACCAAAGTGTCGATCACCTCAAGCAAGCGCTTCGTCGGGAATGAGCCAAAATACCGCAGAGCAACATTCGGGCAGCGTGTGACGGTTTCATTTTCCATTTGAAGGTCATAATTCGTGCCAAAGGTGACCAATTCGAACTTATTCGATAATTTTAAGCTATTTCCGACTTTTTATATCCTCAGCCAAATGGCTACAGAGGGTGAAAATGTGCCTAGTCGAAATAACGGTTTTAGACCCTAGGTCTCTTTAAATCAAATCCGTTTCAGAACATTTGAAGTCGATCTAGCGATGTCCGTCCGCCTGTCTGTCTGTCTGGCTGGTGCGAACGATAAATCTCGAAGGGAGTATTCGATTTGGTTCAAACTTCGTACATCGTAATATCTTTGTCAAACTTAGATCGAGTTCGGAGATGGGCAATATCGGTCCACTCCTTCTGGTACATCCCCCACAAAACGTCGAAATTTTCCAAATGTATATTTTTTGCACAGAAAGAGAAGGTATAATCCGATTTTGCTCCAACTTTGCAAATCTTAATATTTGCGTCAGTTCTAGGTCAGGTGTGAAAATGGGCAATGTCAGACCACTCCATCAAGCACCTCCCCCACAAATGTCAAAATTTTGAATAATTGCAACTGTCATAAAATGTGATGTAAGAGTCCGCTTGTCTTTAAATTTCACTCATCCCAATATTTATATTATCCCAAGGTCTGGTGTTAAGATGGAATATATCTGTCCACTCCTTCTGGTAAATCCCCCACAAATGGTCGAAATTTTTTAAAAAAAAATATATTTTCTGCACAGAAAGAGAAGCAGTAATCCGGTTCGGTCCAACTTTGCAAATCCTAATATTTGCGTAAGGTCTAGGTCAGGTGTGAAAATCGACAATATCGGTCCACTGCATCAAGTGCCTCCTCTATAAGTCTTAAAATTTCGCACATCCCATTATTTCTACTAATACAAGATCTGGCTTTAAGATGGATTATATCGGTCCTCTCCTTCTGGTACTTCCCCCACAAAAGGTCGAAATTTTGAATACCCAATAAGCTCTTAAAACGCGAAATTAACATCGGATTCCATTTAGGCTTGGTACATCTGAATATTTCCATCAATACATGATCTGTTAAAAAAACGGTAGAGATCGGACCATTCCTTCTGATACTTTCCCACAGAGGGTCAAAGTTTTGAATAACAAAAACATTTATAAAATCCGAAATAAGCATCAGGTTCTTTTTATATTTTTTACACATGACTTTATTTCCACTAACAAACGATTCGTTGTGAAAATGGGATATATCGGTCTACTCCTTCTGGTACCTCAAAATTTTTTCTGTAATTATTTTCGTGTAGCACAGTGTTATAGACTGGATATATATCTAAAATTAAAGGACTGCAAGGAATCTCATTCCCAAAATTTAAAAAAAGTAGGTTGGAGAATTTCTCCCTCTATAAATTTAAATTTACGATGTAAAAATTCTAAACGCCGATATACGAGTCTTATATTTGAAGCTCTACTTTCATAATCTGCTGGATATTTCCAGTAGTTTTTGCAAAAAAAAAATGTTGTCGCATAGTGTTGTCAGAGTTCTTCCACTTTATTGAAATGATTTTCAGGGAATATTCGAAAATATTTCTTCTTAAAAAATATTATTTTAAACTTTTTGCCCAGCGTTTTGCTCCTCCAAACAATTTTCCTCCATTGCTACTCGGACATTTTCAATAAAATGTTTAAAATCGTTGGATGAAAACAAGTATGTGTGTGTATGTGTGGGAGTCTGAATTTTCTTGTTTAAATAAACTAACATGTCCGCTGCAAAGCTGACTCACTTTATTGCATCAAGCAATTTCAATATTTCCACCTATACACACACATTCATTCATTCTCTCGCTAACAAAAAAACCTTCATCTCCAACACTTACACATTCAGTTGCATACTTACCTCTTGACTACATCCACTATTGCATTTACTGTTCCAGAGTAATAACGTGACTTGGGATTCCGAGGATTTTACCAATTTTGCAATTTCCGTGATTCGCAAACCCAATACATCAAAGCCATTAACCTGTCCCGCACACGAACGCACAAACACATACAGAAATGTTCAAGCGCCATGGTAGAGATCGTCAAAATGCAGCAGCACAAATATGAAATGAGAAAAAAAAGAAGGAAAACGAAATCAAACTTCAGCAGCAACAACAACAAAAAAGGAAAGAATAACAAAAAACATCAACGTGAGAAAAGAAACCATCATCATCACCATCATCAGCCAAGGTATCAAAAGCATCAAAATCATGACTTTTCCCATACACAAAACTTTGAACCGAACGCACACTTAATGCATTTTAACGGAATTGCAAGGCAAGCAGCGCAAGAGAGTGTCGAGGGAAGAGCACGAGAAATATAACAAAAAATATTGTTAAAATGACATGCACTTGCTTGCATTTTGGTGAAAAGTTGTCAATAAATTATAAGCCACTAACCGCAAAAAAAAGTATCACAAGGCATGTCTGTCTCTGAAACACCTACACCATATCAAGGAAGCAGCACACATACATGCGCCTAAAAGTATACATTGCTTTTTTGTGCGTTTGAACTGTTTGTTAACGGCACTCTGTAGTTAGCAGAGTTAAATATTATTTAAATGTTTTAGCAGATCGCTATTATCGACTACGAGAAACAGTGTTACCTACAGTTATGTTACGATTCTATTGCATGAGTTAAATGTTAGGTGAATTCTGTTAAGTGGTTTGTTTTAACATTTTCACCAATGTAAGTTACCTGTAAATCAATGATTAAAAGAAATCAAGTTGAAAATACATTGATGCCCTTGAGTGAAGAATAAATATAAAATCCTGGAATAATTCTAATGAATCAGAACTGTTGTATGTTGGCTATGGTTTTACATCAATACAAAACAACATGAACAACTTAAAAAATTTTAATAAAACGGTTTCCATAGCAAAACCAGCCTATATTGTAATACATCCCATACCCTCCACCATATATATTAAGTTCGTCATTCCTTTTGTAACTCATTGAAATAATAATTTTAGACCCAACTAAGTATATATATTTGATCAGCGTAAAATTCTAAAACGATTCAGTGGTCTTTTGGTCCTTGGAAATGATTTTCTTTAAAAAATCCACGTTTAGTGGTCTTTTGGTCTTTGGAAATGATTTTCTTTAAAAAATCCACATTTAGTGGTCTTTTGGTCCTTGGAAATGATTTTCTTTAAAAAATCCACGTTTAGTGGACTTTTGGTCCTTGGAAATGATTTTCTTTAAAAAATCCACGTTTAGTGGTCTTTTGGTCCTTGGAAATGATTTTCTTTAAAAAATCCACGTTTAGTGGTCTTTTGGTCCTTGGAAATGATTTTCTTTAAAAAATCCACGTTTAGTGGTCTTTTGGTCCTTGGAAATGATTTTCTTTAAAAAATCCACGTTTAGTGGTCTTTTGGTCCTTGGAAATGATTTTCTTTAAAAAATCCACGTTTAGTGGTCTTTTGGTCCTTGGAAATGATTTTCTTTAAAAAATCCACGTTTAGTGGTCTTTTGGTCCTTGGAAATGATTTTCTTTAAAAAATCCACGTTTAGTGGTCTTTTGGTCCTTGGAAATGATTTTCTTTAAAAAATCCACGTTTAGTGGTCTTTTGGTCCTTGGAAATGATTTTCTTTAAAAAATCCACGTTTAGTGGTCTTTTGGTCCTTGGAAATGATTTTCTTTAAAAAATCCACGTTTAGTGGTCTTTTGGTCCTTGGAAATGATTTTCTTTAAAAAATCCACGTTTAGTGGTCTTTTGGTCCTTGGAAATGATTTTCTTTAAAAAATCCACGTTTAGTGGTCTTTTGGTCCTTGGAAATGATTTTCTTTAAAAAATCCACGTTTAGTGGTCTTTTGGTCCTTGGAAATGATTTTCTTTAAAAAATCCACGTTTAGTGGTCTTTTGGTCCTTGGAAATGATTTTCTTTAAAAAATCCACGTTTAGTGGTCTTTTGGTCCTTGGAAATGATTTTCTTTAAAAAATCCACGTTTAGTGGTCTTTTGGTCCTTGGAAATGATTTTCTTTAAAAAATCCACGTTTAGTGGTCTTTTGGTCCTTGGAAATGATTTTCTTTAAAAAATCCACGTTTAATGGTCTTTTGGTCCTTGGAAATGATTTTCTTTAAAAATCCACGTTTAGTGGTCTTTTGGTCATTGGAAATGATTTTCTTTTATCTTTAAAGATTTTTTTTTTAAAAATCCACGTTGTGATCTTTGGTTTGGTCATTGAGAAAATACACATCTATATAAATACAACAATGGTAAGACAAAGAGTACTCGGCAAGAGAAAAATTAACTCAATGTCGATCGATTTTTACACCCCTTCGAAAACGAGGGAGACAAGGAGCGATCTCCCTCGAAGTTTAATATAAGTGATTTCCCACAAATTGTGCAGATACTGCTAATTCCAAGTAATACAATCTACTCAAATTTAAGCTATTTTTTTTCTTTTTCGATGTTTTCTTAGGATAAGAAAATATGAATGTTGGAGTGTACAGCTATCGAAAGGCTAAATAAACACCGAAATACCTTAGAGGCATTTCTCTTGCCAGTACAAATTTCTCGATAATACTTTTTTAAATTTGTCAATTTCCTCGATGAGAGGTCCATTGAAGTTTCTACTGCGTCTGTTAGAAAATATAAAGAAAAACTGGAAAAAATACCCATTTTTGATAAGTATTGTTCCAGGGGTAATTCTAATGACAATACAATAATTTTTCAAATGTAATCTAATAAATATTTTTTATTTCGTAATTATTATTTTTAAAATCTTAAAAACTATATGTTAAATTAACCCTTAAAAGCATGACTTCCTCCAAAGCCGAAATTGAACTCCCTATGATTTTCCAAGGGACCATTCAACCACTTCGAACCGGAGCCGTAGGCATCCAAACGGGTATTACCATCATTGGAAGTGAAGATATTTGTGTGACCACCAACCGAGGCCTGTTTGCCGAAACCTTCAAAACGCGTAACACCAGCATTCAGACCATGTCCACCTTCGTTGGTCCATTTCAGCGAGCCACCTTCTCTGTTGAAACCAAAACCATTGTTCAGTTTTGTGTTTGACTGTGAATAGAAGGCATCGACACTGTTTCGGTCATTGTTGAAGATGTTGACACCCAACGATTTGGTAAAGGTATCACTGTGACCCTTGGTAATGTCACGACTCAGCGAGCCACCAACGCCCAGGGAGTTCTTCCAGTCCAACGAACCCGATGAGGATTCTGAAAATTGTCCATTGGGAAAATAGGTCTTACTTTGGGTTACGGTGCCGTCCAATTTGTTCGAAGGACTTGTCAATATGTTACTGCTCACCGAGTTGGTTTTTATTTGGATACCAGTGCTTTAAAAAAGAGGAAATTTTAAAATTTCTCCAAAGGATCACGGAAATCAAAACTACTTACTTTGCTGCGGGATTATCGGGAGAACGACGAGCTCTCATAAGCTGAGGTGCCTGAGTGGGAGGTGGATAATATGGCAATTTTTGTACATAAACTCGTTGCGGATGAGCTTCTGTTACGGAAGCAGTAGCTAAAATGCCAACACAAGCTGCGAACAATAGAATACACTTCATTTTCAGGCTAAAATTGATTGATTGTTCGTTTATTTTCGTTTGAATACTCTCTGTGTTCTGATATCATCTGTGAGAGTGGCATGGTCTTTTATACTTAAAGACAGTTTTGGGTTTTTTGTCCAATGTGTAATCTTATCAATTTTTGTTTTACTTTCGGTTCTTTGAGATTCACCATCTTCGAGGGAATTTACACACAGCTGCTTGTTGTAGCAAAATGAGAATAATTCGTAAAATAGCACGCACAGTATATTAACTTATTATTTAAAGAAGAAAGGGGAGTTTACAAGCGATATATTTTAGAGGTGGCTAAAAACAAGGAAAAATAAAATTTTGGGATTTTTTTTACCGTTATATGGGGGGGCTATACGAAGACATAGACCTACCTGGCCCATTTTCAATACCACATTTGAGTAAAATTTTATGAACCTACTTTATTTCGTTCGCAAGCTGAAGTGATTTCCACAGACGGAATATATATATATATATATATATATATATATATATATATATATATATATATATATATATATATATATATATATATATATATATATATATATATATATATATATATATATATATATATATATATATATATATATAGGACTTTTAGTATTGAAAATGGGCTATGTAGGTCCACGCCTTCGTATAGCCCCCATATAACGGTACTTCCCGCTATTCGGTATATTGATGATTTTAGCGACATTATTTATCGGAACCATTTCAATTTTGGTATTTCAAGTTCGTAATGGATACTACAGCCTATGACAGAAAATTGTCTGTGCAGGTCCGGGTCTTCGTATAGCCCCCATATAACGGTACCCCCCGATATTCGGTATTTTGATGATTTTAGCTACATTATAAACAGATTTTTTTTCAAAGTTCCGCATTTGAATCGTGTAGACCCTAATATACGGCTACATTCGATATTTTTTAGATTGTAACCGAATTTTTAATGGGTTTTATTTTTTGAAAATTGTTAAATTTGTACTAAATGGGCGAGGGTATACAAAGTTCGGCCCGGCTGAACTTTCACCGTTTTTACTTGTTATTTTTCGAATATAGATTTCTCGAAATCCGAGCATTTTAAATATATAGTGTCTTCCGCAATATTGCACATAAAAATACGAAGAATATTTTGGTGGAAAATATTAACCCTCAATCAAGTTGCAAAATTTGGACTTTTTTGAACTTTTTTTAAAAAAATGATTTAAAACTTCCCGTGATCAATTTAAATCAATATATTAAAATTATTCCTCATAAAATTATACTAATGGTCCTAGAAGACGTCAACAGTCTAAACCTTACCTAAGCGCTAAAATTCATGTATATAAAAATAACATTGAAACTTTACATCGCAAAGTAACCTTAATTGAGGGGATAGATTTCGCCTATCTTTATTTTTTTTTTTTATTGATGTTTTCGAATATAGATTCCTTTTAATCCATTGAATTTAGGTATATGGTGACTTCGGCAACATTCCAGAGAAAATTACGAGGAATGTTAATGTCGAAAATGTTATGCCTAAAGTGAGCCGAAAAAGTGATATATTTGGTTCTTTTTTTGAAAAAGTGGTTAATTCCCTTGAACGGGTCGTAGCGATTCAAAATATTCCACAAAATTGCTTGTCTTAAAATTCTATTATGTGTCTCAAAAGACGTCAAGGGTCTAAGTCTTACCTAAACGCCAGGAATTCGTAAATATAAAAAAGCTCATTTTAGGGTTAAAGTTGTACTTTTTGTGAGTTCATGCACATTTCTCCCACAAAGCATCTGTTTAGAAGGATTACGTCAAAGGCAAACATATTCTTCAGAAAATTTCACCATAAGCTGCCGAAGAGAAGAAATTTCTATATCCATTATATATCACGAAAATATTTGCATTACTCTTGCCAAAAAATACACGAAAATATTTCTTAATTTTTTGATCAATTTTCTACGGACTTTTTTCGAGTTGACGCCTGAAAGTAAAATAAAATTTCGTTTCAGGTGGAAGGTGTTAAAGAATGAAATATTGTACACAAAATTTAACTAAAAATTCCGGAATAAACCATATTTCTAAAATCCATAGTTTTCAAGAATATTATATTCGAATTTTACATATTTCAAGTGAAAATTATGAGTTTTTGATTTCTACTGTTAATTTAATACGTTTCGACTTTAAGTCAGAATCTCCCTTAATACACAATTTTTTGGGGAAAGTATTAAAGGAAGAAATATTCTAGATCAAATTTCAATGTGAGTCTCTGAACAAAAGAAATTTGTATAGGTAATATGTAACATAAAAATGAAATCATTTTTTGTTAATTCAGTTTTTTTTTTTATTTCAGAAAATTTAAGTATTTTTTTCCAATTCGCTCAAAAGGAACTCTTTCTAGGTTCGTCGTATTTTTGACAATACCTCATATTGTTATGAGTAAATATTGTTATCGTAATATATGAAATTTTCTTTAAAAAAATTCACAGCATTTCCCCACAACATCGGTTTGCACAAATTAGGAACACATTATTAGTGCCGTAAATAATCCCTGAAATAAGATCACAAAGAAGGAGGCAACAAACTTTGAAGTCGAAAAAATCCCAAAATTTTATTATTTTCTTATTTTTAGCCACCTCGCTTGTAAATTCCACTTTCTTCTTTAAATGATGTCTTTATATTGACTTAATATACTCTTAATATGTGCGTGCTATTTTGCGAATTATTCACATTTTGCTACAACAAGCAGCTGTGTGTAAATTCCCTCGAAGATGGTGAATCCCAAAGAACCGAAGGCAAAACAAAAATTGATAAGATTGCACATTGGACAAAAAACCAAAACTGTCTTTAAGTATAAAAGACCATGCCACTCTCACAGATGCCATCAGAACACAGAGAGTATTCAAACGAAAATAAACAAACAATCAATCAATTTTAGCCTGAAAATGAAGTGTATTCTATTGTTCGCAGCTTGTGTTGGTATTTTAGCTGTTGCTTCCGTAACAGAAGCTCTGCCGCAACGAGTTTATGTACAAAAATTGCCCTATTATCCACCACCCACTCAGGCACCTCGAGTCATGAGAGCACGTCGTTCTCCCGATAATCCCGCAGCACAGTAAGTAGTTTTGATTTCCGTAGTTCTTTGGAGAAATTTTAACATTTCCTCTTTTTTAAAGCACTGGCGTCCAAATAAAAACCAACTCGGTGAGCAGTAACATATTGACCAGCCCTTCGAACAAATTGGATGGCACCGTGACCCAAAGCAAAACCTATTTCCCCAATGGACAATTTTCAGAATCCTCTTCGGGTTCGTTGGATTGGAAGAACTCCCTGGGCGTTGGTGGCTCGCTGAGTCGTGACATTACCAAGGGTCACAGTGATACTTTTACCAAATCGTTGGGTGTCAACATCTTCAATAATGACCGAAACAGTGTCGATGCCTTCTATTCACAGTCGAACACAAAACTGAACAATGGTTTTGGTATCAACAGAGAAGGTGGCTCGCTGAAATGGACCAACGAAGGTGGACATGGTCTGAATGCTGGTGTGACGCGCTTTGAAGGTTTCGGCAAACAGGCCTCTATTGGTGGCAACACAAATCTCTATACCTCCAATGATGGCAATACTCGTTTGGATGCCTTTGGTTCGGGTTCGAAATGGTTGAATGGTCCATTGGAAAATCATAGGGAGTTCAATTTCGGCTTTGGAGGAAGTCATGCTTTTAAGGGTTAATTTAATATAGAGAATTTAAGATTTTAAAAATAATAATTACGAAATAAAAAATATTTATTGGATTAAATTTGAAGAATTATTGTATTGTCATTTGAATTACCCCCTGGAACCATACTTATTAAAAATGGGTATTTTTCCAGTTTTTCTTTATATTTTCTAACAATTAACAGACTCAGTAGAAACTCCTATCGACCTTTTTTTTAAGGAAAATCATTTCCAAGGATCAGAAGACCACTAAACGTGGATTTTTTTAAAGAAAATCATTTCCAAGGACCAAAAGACCACTAAACGTGGATTTTTTAAAGAAAATCATTTCCAAGGACTAAAAGACCAATAAAACTGGATTCTTTAAAGAAAATCATTTCCAAGGACCAAAAGACCACTAAACGTGGATTTTTTAAAGAAAATCATTTCCAAGGACCAAAAGACCACTAAATTTGGATTTTTTTAAAGAAAATCATTTCCAAGGACCAAAAGACCACTAAACGTGGATTTTTTAAAGAAAATCATTTCCAAGGACCAAAAGACCACTAAACGTGGATTTTTTAAAGAAAATAATTTCCAAGAACCAAAAGACCACTAAACGTGGATTTTTTAAAGAAAATCATTTCCAAGGACCAAAAGACCACTAAACGTGGATTTTTTAAAGAAAATCATTTCCAAGAACCAAAAGACCACTAAACGTGGATTTTTTAAAGAAAATCATTTCCAAGGACCAAAAGACCACTAAACGTGGATTTTTTAAAGAAAATCATTTCCAAGAACCAAAAGACCACTAAACGTGGTCTTTTAAAGAAAATCATTTCCAAGGACCAAAAGACCACTAAACGTGGATTTTTTAAAGAAAATCATTTCCAAGAACCAAAAGACCACTAAACGTGGTCTTTTAAAGAAAATCATTTCCAAGGACCAAAAGACCACTAAACGTGGATTTTTTAAAGAAAATCATTTCCAAGGATCAAAAGACGTGGATTTTTTAAAGAAAATCATTTCCTAGGACCAAAAGACCATAAAACGTGGATTTTTAAAAAAAAAATATTTCCAAGCACCAAAAGACAATTAAACGTGGATTTTTTAAAGAAAATTATTTCCAAGGACTAAAGACCACTAAAGGTGGATTTTTTAAAGAAAATCATTTCCAAGGACTGAAGACCACTAAAGGTGGATTTTTTAAAGAAAATCATTTCCAAGGACTTAACGCTGATTTTTAAAGAAAATCATTTCCAAGGACTAAAGACCACTAAAGGTGGATTTTTAAAGAAAATCATTTCCAAGGACTTAACGCTGATTTTTAAAGAAAATCATTTCCAAGGACTAAACGCTGATTTTTTAAAGAAAAGCATTTGCAAGGTCTAAAGACCACTAAAGGTGGATTTTTAAAGAAAATCATTTCCAAGGACTAAACGCTGATTTTTTAAAGAAAATCATTTCCAAGGACTAAACGCTGATTTTTAAAAAAAAAAAATCATTTCCAAGGACCAAAAGACCACTAAACGTGGATATTTTAAAAAATATCATTTCCAAGGACCACAAGACCACTAAATGTAAATTTTTTAAAGAAAATCATTTCCAAGGACCAAAAGGCCACTAAACGTGGATTTTTTCAAAGAAAATCATTTCCAAGGACCAAAAGACCACTAAACCTGGATTTTTTAAAGAAAATCATTTACAAGGACCAAAAGACCACTAAACGTGGATTTTTTCAAAGAAAATCATTTACAAGAACCAAAAGACCACTAAACGTGGATTTTTTAAAGAAAATTATTTCCAAGTACCAAAAGACCACTAAATGTGGATTTTTTAAAGAAAATTAAAAAAACTTTAGATTTCATATAATAAATATTTATTTTTCATTTCTATTATTTTTTTAAATCTTAAATTATATTTCTTCGATTAACCCTTAAATGCATGACTTCCACCAAAGCCGAAGTTGAATTCTCTTTGATTTTCAAATGGACCATTTAACCATTTCGTACCGGAACCATAGGCATCCAAGCGAGTATTGCCATCATTGGAGGTGAAAAGGTTTGTATTGCCAACAATAGAGGCCTGCTTGCCAATGCCTTCGAAACGCGTAACACCAGCATTCAGACCATGTCCACCTTCGTTGGTCCATTTCAGCGAGCCACCTTCTCTGTTGAAACCAAAACCATTGTTCAGTTTTGTGTGCGACTGTGAATACATGGCATCGAGACTGTTTCTGTCATTGTTGAAGATGTTGACACCCAACGATTTGGTAAAAGAATCGCTGTGACCCGTGGTAATATCACGACTCAACGAACCACCAACGCCCAGGGAGTTCTTCCAGTCCAAAGAACCCGAGGAGGATTCTGAAAATTGTCCATTGGGAAAATAGGTTTTACTTTGGGTCACGGTACCATCCAATTTGTTCGAGGGGCTGGTGAATATATTGCTGCTCACCGAGTTGGTCTTAATTTTAATGCCAGAGCTTTAAATGGAAGAGACATTTCTAAAATTGTCCATAGGACCTCAAGAAATCAATACCACTTACCTTGGTGGAGGACTATCGGGAGAACGTCGCGCTCTCATGATCTGAGGTGCCCGGGTGGAAGGTGGATAATATGACAATTTTTGCACATAAACTCGTTGCGGCTGAGCTTCTGTTACCGAAGCAATAGCTAAAATGCCAACACAAGCTGCGAACAATAGAATACACTTCATTTAGGCTATAATTTTTGATTGATGTTTATTTTCGTTTGAATACTCTATGTGTTCTGATAGCATCGGTGAGAGTGACATGGTCTTTTATACTTAAAGACAGTTTTGGGTTTTCTGCGCAATGGGCAATCTTATCACTGTTTGTTTTACCTTCGGTTCTTTGGGATTCACCATCTTGAGGGGAAATTACTCACAGCTGCTTGCTGTAGCGAAATAGGAATAAGCATGCACGCACATATTTTTGAGTCAATATTAAGGCATTATTTAGCGGAGAAACGGGAATTTACAAATGAAATATTTTAAAGGTTACAAAAATAAAAAAAAAAATTATATTGTGGATTTTTTCCGACTTCAAAGTTTGTTGCCTTCTTTGTGATCTTATTTCTGTTGTCCAGCATCATAAGGGATAAATTCTACGAAACCAAATTTGTGGGTTTATTTTTTGGTGAATTCAAATTTTATTGGAGGGTTTATGAGGTGTACTTTTTCGTTTCAAAATTATCAAAATTCTTTGGTCCTATAATAGGAATCTCTGACTCTTTTTTTGAGTTACCGATAAAAATTTGGAATTACTTATAATTTCGGCAGTTAATAAAATTTTTGCAAGTTAGTGACAAAAATATTTTTTTCTTTTTTTATTTTTTTGAAATTTGATTGATATATTTGATATATAATGAAAATATATATTTTTTTTCTTTAATGACTTGAAGGGAAATTTGATGTAGAATAATTTTTTCTTCGACAACATCCTTTTAACACCATGCTTTGTGGGAGTATTTTTCATAAATTCTCATAAACTATGGGTTTAACCCAAAAATGCGTTTCTAATATACCTGGATTTCTGGAAGATTAAGACTTTCGATGTACTAGAATTTTATGACAAATAAATTTGTAGAATATTTTGACTTCTTACGATCGCAGTTAGAATATTAAATGAAGTTTTTAACCATTTTTAGAAAAAGGGACCAAAAAGACCCCTTTGGTGACTCGCATATGATTCAAAATTGTTGACCAAAATAATGCTCGTGTTGTTGTCTGCAATATTTCCAAAGACACTATATACCTAAAATTTAAGGATTCCAAGGAAACTAATTCCAAAAATTAAAAAAAAAAAATGGAAGATAGGTGAATTTTTCTTCAATTTTTAGCTCAACTTTCTGTGTGAGATTTTTCCTGTAATTATTTTTTGTATCTTCGACTCTAATTTTAAGGCCACGTTTTTTAAGGCAACCAGATGAGATTTGACATATTTGGTTCTCATATGTGAAAGTTCTATTGACTACTGATATGGCCTCCAACCCATGGTTCCTAGTCATTTGAAGGTTAAAAATTCTACAGGTTAAAATTCATTCATGTTCTCAGAGTATGTTAACCCTATCTGTAAAACAATTGTCAATATAGGTACTAAAGTGGGGAGACTTAAATACCTTAGAGAATTTTTTTCAAGGACCAAAAGACCACTAAACCTGAATTTTTTAAAGAAATCCATTTTCAAGAATAACAGGACCATTAAACGTGGATTTTTTAAAGACAAAAATATCAACAGCCAGAACACCACTAAACGTGGGTTTTTTAAAGAAAAAAATTTTCAAATACCACAAGACCACTAAACGTGGATTTTTTAAAGAAAATCATTTTCAAGGTCCACAAGACCACTAAACGTGGATTTTTTAAAGGAAACTATTTTCAAGGTCCACAAGACCACTAAACGTGGATTTTTTAAAGGAAACTATTTTCAAGGTCCACAAGACCACTAAACGTGGATTTTTTAAAGAAACAGTTTCAAGGACCAGAAGACCACTAAACGTGGATTTTTTAAAGAAACAGTTTCAAGGACCAGAAGACCACTAAACGTGGATTTTTTAAAGAAACAGTTTCAAGGACCAGAAGACCACTAAACGTGGATTTTTTAAAGAAACAGTTTCAAGGTCCAGAAGACAATAAACGTGGATTTTTAAAGGAAACCATTTCCAAGGTCCAGAAGACAATAAACGTGGATTTTTAAAGGAAACCATTTCCAAGGTCCAGAAGACAATAAACGTGGATTTTTAAAGGAAACCATTTCCAAGGTCCAGAAGACAATAAACGTGGATTTTTAAAGGAAACCATTTCCAAGGTCCAGAAGACAATAAACGTGGATTTTTAAAGGAAACCATTTCCAAGGTCCAGAAGACAATAAACGTGGATTTTTAAAGGAAACCATTTCCAAGGTCCAGAAGACAATAAACGTGGATTTTTAAAGGAAACCATTTCCAAGGTCCAGAAGACAATAAACGTGGATTTTTAAAGGAAACCATTTCCAAGGTCCAGAAGACAATAAACGTGGATTTTTAAAAGGAAACCATTTCCAGGTCCAGAAGACAATAAACGTGGATTTTTAAAGGAAACCATTTCCAAGGTCCAGAAGACAATAAACGTGGATTTTTAAAGGAAACCATTTCCAAGGTCCAGAAGACAATAAACGTGGATTTTTAAAAGGAAACCATTTCCAGGTCCAGAAGACAATAAACGTGGATTTTTAAAGGAAACCATTTTCAAGGTCCAGAAGACCAATAAACTTGAATTTTTTAAAGAAAAAATTTTCAAGGACCACCAAAATCTCAAAGGTCCAGAAGACCACTAAACTTGGATTTTTAAAGAAAAAATTTTCAAGGACCACCAAAATTTCCAAGATCCTGAAGACCACTAAACGTGGATTTTTAAAGGAAACCATTTTCAAGGTCCAGAAGACCAATAAACTTGAATTTTTTAAAGAAAAAATTTTCAAGGACCACCAAAATCTCAAAGGTCCAGAAAACCACTAAACTTGGATTTTTAAAGAAAAAATTTTCAAGGACCACCAAAATTTCCAAGATCCTGAAGACCACTAAACTTGGATTTTTAAAGAAAAAATTTTCAAGGACCACCAAAATTTCCAAGATCCTGAAGACCACTAAACGTGGATTTTTAAAGAAAAAATTTTCAAGGACCACCAAAATTTCCAAGGTCCAGAAGACCACAAAATGTGGATTTTTTAGGAAAAAATTTTCAAGGACCACCAAAATTTCCAAAGTCCACAAGACCACTAAACGTGGATTTTTTAAAGAAACGTTTTCAAGGACAACCATCGTGGATTTTTTAGTGAAACATTTTCAAGGACCACCCAAGTGGACTTTTTAAACAAACGTTTTCAAAAATGGTCGACCAATATTGAATTTTTCTATTGATGTTGCTATGTTTAACATTTCGAAATTTTAGTAGGTTAAAAAATTATTCGGGATCCAAGATTTGAAATTTGAATTTAAAGGTGCTCCTCACTTTGTTTAACTGATTGGACTTCAGCTTCATTATATTTACCAAAATTTTTGTATTTGTATTTGAAGTTCGTAATGGTCCACGTTTTATAACCCCTATGGTACCTTTATTACATACATTATAAACAGATTTTTTTTTTCAAGTTTCCCATTTTAATATTTTAATAGCTTATGACAAAAGTTGCCTATGCAGGTCCACGTCATCGTATAGACCCTAACATACGGCTACATTCGGTATTTTTAAGATTTTAACAGAATTCTTAACGGATTTTTTTTTTGAAAATTGTTAAATTTTTACCAAATGGTGGAGGGTATTCAAAGTTCGGCCCGGGCGAACTTACAGCTTTTTACTTGTTTTTATTTTACAATTGAAACTATTTTCTACCTCGTAAATTCCATTAGCTTCCCTAGTAAATCACCTACCTTCGCTGAACTTCCTAATATTAAAATAATTATTCATGTTGATCTGTATGGGTAATTATTCCTATTTTTTTGCAAAAAGAAAAACAAAACAGTTCATATTTTGCCTATAAAAATTCCCCCTGAGATGGTGAATCCCAATCTACAAAATACAAAGTAAATTGATAAGACTGTGCTCAAGGCAGACAATCTTTCGAAATATAAAAGACCATGCAACCCGAACAGATGGTATCACAACACGCGGAGTATTCAAACGAAAATAAACATCAATCAAAAATTATAGCCTCAAAATGAAGTGTATTCCATTGTTCGCAGCTTGTGTTGCCATTTTAGCTGTTGCTTCGGTAACAGAAGCTCAACCGCAACGAGTTTATGTACAAAAATTGCCATATTATCCACCTCCCACTCAGGCACCTCGAGTCATGAGAGCTCGTCGTTCTCCCGATAATCCCGCAGCAAAGTAAGTAGTATGGATTTCTAAGTTCCTGCCGACAAATTTTAACAATTCTTTTTTTTTTAAAGCACTGGCATCCAAATTAAAACCAATTCGGTGAGCAGCAACATACTCAAGACCCCTTCGAACAAAGTGGATGGTACCGTAACCCAAAGTAAAACCTATTTTCCCAATGGACAATTTTCGGAATCCTCATCGGGTTCTTTGGACTGGAAGAACTCCCTGGGCGTTGGTGGCTCCCTGGGTCGTGACATTACCAAGGGTCACAGTGACACCTTTACCAAATCATTGGGTGTCAACATCTTCAACAACGACAGAAACAGTCTGGATGCCATGTATTCACAGTCGAACACAAAACTGAACAATGGTTTTGGTTTCAATAGAGAAGGTGGCTCGCTGAAATGGACCAACGAAGGTGGACATGGTCTGAATGCTGGTGTTACGCGTTTTGAAGGTTTCGGCAAACAGGCTTCTGTTGGTGGTCACACAAATATCTTTACCTCCAATGATGGTAATACCCGTCTGGATGCATTTGGTTCGGGTTCGAAGTGGTTAAATGGTCCATTGGAAAATCATAGGGAGTTCAATTTCGGTATTGGTGGCAGTCATTATTTCAGAGGTTAAGTTTGAGAAATATATGATCTTTAAAAATTAGTAATAAAAATAAAATATTTATTGAAGTGTAACAAAATAAAGATTAAATTAAAATATTTTTAATATTGATAGGGTATCATTAGAATGATTGAGATGTTAGATCAAAATATTAACTTTAAAAATAAAAAATAATTTAAAAAAAAAATATTCTTGAAAAATATTTCATTTTTATGCCCATGAAACTACAAAGAGTGTGATATTATTGAATGAAAGCAAAAATTGTCGGAAATAGCATCAAATTTTAGAATAAGTTTACATTTGTTCGAATCGGTCACCTTTGGCACGAATTATGGCCTTCAAACGACCAATGAAACCATCACACGCTGCCAGAATGTTGCTTTGCAGTATTTTGGCCCATTCCAGGCGATGCGCTTGCCTGAGGTGATCAACAATTAGGTATTTTTTAGTGCCAACCTTGCATTTCAAAATACTCCAGACCAATGGATTGATATCCGGAGATTTTGGTGGTCATTATGCGCTGGAAATGAAGCGAGGAACCTCATTTTGTAACCATTCTTGAATGACGCATGCTGAGTTTGATGGCGCTGAGTCCTGTTGGAATGCCCAAGGTCTGCGACCAAAATGTTTGCGTGCCCAAGGCTTTAATACACCCTCCCGAATATTTTCGCTACAATATTGGACAGTTATTCTGATGCCACGGTTGATTAATACGGGCAGAGAGCGACCATCGGCTGTTATGGCGGCCCACACCAACACCATGGCCGGCGCTTGAGTTCTGCTGGTCAACCGAGGGTGCACATTTTAAGCAGACCTCTTGGCTGGACTGCTGGACAACGAATGTTTTCTCATCAGAGAAAATTAAACTCGCAGTTTACCACTTTCGGCCAAGCGAAGCGACTCTTTAGCTCTTTTGAGTCCATTTTCTTTCTGTTGCGGTGTAAGTTCTTGCACTTCTTGGAATTTCAATGGCTTTACCCCGAGCTCATTTTTCAATATTTGCCGAATGGAATATTGCGATATGTTCAGCTCACGAGCCATTTTTCGGCCCCTGTGACGCGGGTTTCGCTCAAGTCGATACTTTACTTTTCGAACCATTTCTGCTGATGCTGCTGTTTTTTTCCGCCCACTTCCTTGACGTCGGGCTACGCTACCAGTAACGAAAGATGGTACGAAAGATGGTACGAGACACAAAAGATTTATTCGTATTTAAATGCTGGAGTGCTCTAACGATAGCCACTTGTGGTTTTCCAGCTAAATATAAAGAAATCACACTATCACGCTTGAATTCCATCACGAATAACTTTTTTTCTGGAAAATTCTCACCAGAATGCTTTGTACGCTTGTAACATGAGCTGTGACTGGAATAATTTTAACAGCTGTCGGACGAGTGGCTTAGAAATGACAGCAGTCTGAAGTTGGTTGCAGTTTTTTCATCTCTCCCTGTATAGGCCACATGCAACGGTACCGGCCGATTTAATGTCTTTTGTTTGCTTAAGACACACATTTAACCCGAATTTGCTGTAAGCTGGCAGTTTGTGTTCTCAGTATGTAGGAATCATCCTTGCTCTGCCCTTATGGGTCGAAGTTTTGGTATGGAGGCCTTCGGTATTATGATGAATTGTCTTACACTTGTCACCAGAATTATTTCCAATTTAGTATTTGTAGTTTGTAATCGGCACTTTCTCCTACGAAAGAAAATTTCCTGATCCACGCCTTCGCAAAGCCTTCATATAACGGTACCTCCTAATTTTTTAAATTTTGACAATTTTAGTTGAATCTTTTAACAAAGTTATCGTATATCCCCACATAACAGTAACGCTTGATTCGGAATTTTTTAAATTATAGTTGAATTTTTCAACAGTTTTTTTTTTTCATTTTTCAAGTTCCTTCCAAAAAGTTCAACCTGGCCGAACAAAGCTTCTTTTTTACTTGTTTTTAAATATATTATTTATGTATGTATATTTATGCAGATAACAGATTCTTGCAAAATTATCTGTTTGTCAAATGTCTTTTCAGATATAATTAGTAATAAATAAAAACACTAATTTAGTGTTCCGTTTCACACTTGCTGTTCAACAAATATTTTCGAAAAATGAATGTTTTTATGGAAATGTATTTTGGCAAACAAAAAATTAAATAAATTAACCAGTAAGGAAAGTCTTAAAGTCGGGCGGGCCGACTTTATGATACCCTACGCCCCTTTGCTAATTTAGTTGAGCTCCGCATAACAATTAAACATTTTTATGGGAGAATTCAATCATACACGCTATGATTATAATTATAATTTAAAGTTCAAAGGACTAAATATGCCGAAGCATTTGTATCTTTTAAATTCCGACTTGTATTGTCCATTTGGTGCACAATTAATTTGAAATCGTATAAAAATATATAAGGGAGCTATATCCAAATCGGAACCGATCTCGATAAAATTTGGCAAAGATATGTCTGAGCTGTATTTGATATATTTTCCTGAATATGGTTGTTACGAAGTGCATATTACGGCTGTGGGTAACAAATATAACAAATCGGATGAAGAGTATATATGGGAGCTATAGCTATATCTGAACCGATTTCGATCAAATTTGTCATACTTATTTTCTGGTCCAAACTGATCGTACGTGCAAAATTTCATACTATTCGGACTGATATTACACGTTTGGTGCACACAAAAAGCAAATCGGACGAAGATATATATGGGAGCTATATGTAAATTTTGACTGATTATGATTTCAATAGGGTTCGTCCTTGGACCATACAAATGATTTGTGCAAAATTTCATCTGGATAGGGCAATAAATACGAACTGTACTTTGTTTACAAAAATACATGGACAGACGTACGGACGGACATGTATAAATCGACTTAGAATGTGATTCTATGCAGATCGTCAAAAGGAACTATGGTTCTATCTCGTTTCCTTTTGCCTGTTACAAACAAATGCACAAAGACACAATACCCTGACCACCTTGTGGTGTAGGGTATAATAATATATAATATAATATTTATTAGGGTATAACGTTTGTTAGATAATCGAAATATATTTTAATGACAATAGAGGTTTAATCCTGAGAGTCAAATTCAAACCCACTTCTTTTAAATAAAATAATTTAAATAACAGTATCGGGAAGTGAGCATGGCATAGTAATAACGTTGACATGTAGGTATTAAGGCTAAAAAGTACTGTATAAACCCATTAATAACCAGTAAGGAAAGGTCAAAAGTTGGGTGGGCCGGCTATATGCTACCCTACACCACTATGCATATATAGTAGAGTTCCGTAATAAAAAAGTTTATATTAGGAATTTATGTAAAGTATCATATCATGGATTTAGAGTAGTCACAATTTGGCAAATGTACCTAAATCTGAATCGATCTAACAAGTAAAAAAGCAGTAAGTTCGGCCCGGCCGAACTTTGAATACCCTCCACCATTTGAAACGCATTAAAAAATTTTCAAAAAAATAAAATCCATTAAATATTCAGTTAAAATCTTAAATATACCTAATATCGGGAGGTGCCGTTATATGAGGGATAAAGAGAATTGTCAGGGGTTAAAGTGCTCACAAAGAACTCCTTGTGTAGATTTTCAGGCAATTCCGTTGAAAAATGTGGCTAAAATCATCAAAATACCGAATGTCAGGGGGTACCGTTATGTGGGGGCTATACGATATCGTGGACCGATATAGCCCATCTTCGAACTTGACCTGCCTGCAGACAAAAGACAGATCTGTGCAAAATTTTAGCTTCCTATCTTAATTCGTTTTGACTGTAGCGTGATTACAACAGACGGACAGACGGACGGATGTGGCTAAATCGTCTTAGAATTTTACGCTGATCAAGAATATATATACTTTGTTGGGTCTAAAATGATTATTTCGATGAGTTACAAACGGAATGACGATTTTAATATACCATCCATACTATGTATGGTGGAGGGTATAAAAATGGAAAAATTCGGTTGAATATTGAAAATATTATATGCTGAAAAGTAACCGTAAAATCGGACCGATCTCGATAAATTTGGCAGACGTATTTTCGAGCTGTATCTAATGTCCGGTATTGAATACCTTTGTGGGGTCCATGTTACACATGTGATGGACTTTTACACAAAATCGGATAAAACATATATATGGGAGCTATAGCTATATCTAAACCAAATTTTATATACTTGCTTCTAGATTGAATTCGGTTGTATGTGCCAAAATTCAGGTGATTTGAACTGATATTGGCCAATTTTGACCGATTCTCAACAATTTCAATAGGGTTCGTCCTTGGGCCAAACAAATATTGTTTTGCAAAATTTCATCTCAATCGGATAATAAATGCGACCAGTATTTTGTTCATAAAAATATATGGACAGACGTACAGACATGCATAAATCGACTTTGAAAGTGATTCTACTAAGATCTTCAAAAGTAATGGGTCTATGGGTCTATCTTGCTTATGTGTACTAAATGATACTAAATTTGGTACAACTTGGATTTGGGTGAAACGATAGAGCTGGAATGAGGTTTGGTATATGGAGGAAGTTTTGGAAAGCTGTACTTATGTGCGCAAAAGTTACTGAATGATACTAAACTTGGTATTGCGTGAGTGGGTGCCGCTTAAATTTGGCATTAGGATCACTATTTGTGTGTAGGGTTGAAATGTGGAGGCGGTACTAAATTTGGATTTTGGGTCTAAATATGGCCGAACTTTTTAAATCTCCACCATCTTCAAAATTATCAAACAAAAAAGGACAAAAAAAAAACACCAACAATAAAAGCTGCTAAATTCGGCCGGGCCGAACTTTTAATACCCTCCCCCATTTGAAAGAAACGTGAACTTACAAATTCTAAAACCACCACATAAACAAAAACCGTTATATGGGGACTATACGAAGACGTGGACCTGCCTATGAAATATTTTGTCATAGGCTGTAGTACCCATTACGAACTTCAAATATGAAATTTGAAACAGTTCAAGTGAATAATGCCTAAAATCATTTAAAATATATCGAATATCGGGGGGAATGGTTTATATATACGAAATTTTTTCGCCATAGATTGGAGTACTCATTCAGATTTTCCAATACGAAATTTGATACGATTCCGGTGATTAATGTTGCTGAAATCATCAAAATTCCGAATATCGGGAGGTACCCTTATATGGGGGCTATACGAAGACGTGGATTTTTAAATATGAAATTTGAAATAATTTCGATAAATAATGTCGCTAAAATCATGAAAGTACCGAATATCGGGAGGTACCGTTATATGGGGGATATACGAAAATGTGGACCGACATGGCACTTAACCCGCCTACTGGTAAACTATGCATGTATGCTAAATGTTCTACCTCAATTCGTTCGAATGATAGCGTGACTACAACAGATAGATATACGGACATCGCTAGATCATCTTAGAATATTTTTTTAGAGCCGTGGATATTTTAAAAATATTTTTTCCAGAGGAGTGGATATTTAAAAATATTTTTTAAGAGGCGAGGATATTTATAAAATATTTTTTCAGAGGCGTGGATATTTTAAAAATATTTATTCCAAAGGCGTGGATATTTAAAACATTTTAAAAATGTTTGTTTCAGAAGCGTGGATATTCTTAAATTTTTTTCCAGAGGCGTGGATATTTCAAAAATATTTTTCTATTTTTCTATATATATACTTTGTAGGGTCTATTATGTAAATTTCGAGACGTAACAAACGGAATGACAAACTTAATATAACCTACATGCTATGGTGGAGGGTATAAAAATGGAAAAATGAGGCATATATGGGGGCTATACGAAGACGTGGCCATGGATAAGTATTTTATTTTATTTTTTTTTTGTGTCATAAGTTTACGATTACGAATTTTAAATCCGCAATTTAAACCAATTCCGGTGAATAATGTTGCAAAAATCATGAAAATACCGAGTATCTGGGGGCACCGTTAAGTGCTCACAAGGAACTCCTTTTGGGATTTTTCTGACAATTCTATTGAATAATGTCGCTAAAATCCTCAAAATACCGAATATATGGAGGTACCATTATATGGGCGCTATAAAAAGACGTCGACCGACATAGCCCACATAACTACTGCCTACTGGAAAATACACAATTTATCCTTCTATCTCATTTCGAATGATAGCGTGATTACGGCAGACAGGCAGCAGACTGACAGAAAAACAGACGGACAAATCGGCTGATCCGGAAAATCGGCTGATCCGGAAAATATACACTTTGTAGGGCCTACCGTAAGTCTTTCAAGTAGTTACAAACGTAATAACAAAGTTAATCCTATACCCTCCATGAAATGGTGGAGGGTAAGAAAAACCTCTGATTTTGATCAAATTTGTCAAGGTATTAATTTCGTCTCGGTAGAGGGTATCCTATACCCTCCATAAAATGGTGGAGGGTAAAAAACTCTGATTTTGATCAAAATTGTCAATGTTTTCATTTCGTCTCAGTAGAGGGTATTTAAAGTTCGATCCGGCTAGACTTAATGTCTTTTCCTGTTGCCGTACTTAATTTTGTAGGAATGCATTTGTATAATAACAAAATTCCCATGCCCGGCACTTCCTATAAATATTCAGTACCGCATTGACCATATCAAAGAATTTTATTGCCTTCAAATTATAAATCTTAAAATTTATATCTCTTTTTAACTGCGCTACCAAAAAAAAATCTCTCTTTGAATTTCGTACGAAAGTGATTTATTTGAAATTCCGAAACAAGTCAGGTGCATTTTTTTTTCTTTTGTACATAACCACAATTATTGGCTGTGATCCAATATACTAACCTCTAAAACGCAATCGCCAATTTCTAGGCCAGCTTTGGCAGCCGGACTAAAGCAGTCAACACCACTGACCTAGACACCAGTATTTATGTTTGGGGAAAACAAAAAACAAGAAATAAAATAATTAACACACACACACAGAGACGACTGGGTTATTAAATTTTCAACATCATCATCAAGATGAAGACACACTACCCATGGATAGGGATCCCATTTTGAACGGGTCAAATGGAAACCACACGAACCATTTACGGTCTTATCGATTTGTAGTAGACGCACTGCTGATTCATAATGATCATCATCATCATCGTAATCATTATTATCATTTTTGTTGTTGTCGTCATCAACGCCAGCATCACAATTACTATTGTTATTGCTGTTGTTGAGGTTGTTATTGTTGCGATCACTGATCTTTGAACCGTAACGTTGGTCCACAAATTGCTGCCATTTTCTGTTCTTAGCAGAGCTGGTTTCAATTTCTTGGTCGATATGCTGGGGACTTTTAATTTTTATTGATAATAATTCCACATTGTTGGTGTTGTTATGGCTGTGTTGTTCCGTGTGCATGATTTGTTGTTTACGTTCAATCAATTGGATTTAATGCTGATCGCAGAATAAAAAAACCCAATGATTTGAAATCTTAGAAGGTGAGGTATTTATTTATTTTTTGTTGTTATTTTTATTTAATTTAATTTCAATTTGATTTGATTTTTTCTTAATTTTTTTTCCTATCTCTTGACAACCCGTTGCATACGAAATAGACGTCTTAAAGCAGCGCGTTCGTAATTTATACTGATTTTTTTTATTAGCCGTATTTCTTGGCATCTGTTGTCTCTATATGTGACCAGCAACAACAACAACAACAATGCCAGTCTATCAGCAAGTATGTTTCTTTTGTTTTTCTATTCTCTTAGCGCAAATAAACGTTTTAACTCTTTTGCTAGTTTTGCTGGGTGGCTGAATTCTCGTCTGGTCTGTGGCTAACTGACGCTGAAACTCCGAGCGTTGTGTTTAACCTTTTCAATTTGGCATCACTATTGTTGACTTTTGTCATTAGTAGTAGCTATATTTTAATAAACACATGTATGATATTTTGGGAGATTTGAAAACGTATGCCCTATAGCAGGTTTCTTTGTGTCGTGGAATTTGGTTAGACTGATGTGTGGCCAACAAAACCACAAGTTACTTGTATGCCATTTAGATATTTTGATGTAACAAAATAATAGAAATACACTGGAAAAGATGAGCATTGTTGTAGTAACTTATTGGCAAGAAAGATTTGAAAAAAAAAAATTGAATAATATGTTAATATTCATGATCAGCATGAAATTCTTAAATATATACCCGACTATAGCCTTTACTTACTTTTTATACCATCCACCTTGAAAAGGAGGGTATATTAACTCTGTCATTCCGTTTGTAACATCCTTAAATATTCGCCGTAGACCCCATAAAGTATATATATTCATAATCAGCATAAAATTCTAAGTCGATTTAACGATGTCCGTCTGATCGTCTGTCCGTCTGTCTGTTGAAAAGACAATACAGCCCACATTATTTGACGTAAAGCTCCAAAATTTAGCAGAGCAATTTCAATTGTGTCTAGGATGGTTGGTATTGAAAATGAGATACATCGGTCCACGTTTTGATATAGTCGCCATATAACGGTACCTCCCGATATTCGGTATTTTGAGGATTTATGCCATATTTTTTCATGGATTTGTCTGCAAATTGGTATTCGTAGGTCAAAACGGGTCCCAGTTCGTGTGACAAAACATTGCATGTATATGTCCACGTTTTGGTATAGCCCCCATACAACGGTACCTCCCGATATTCGGTATTTTGATGATTTTTGCCACATTTTTTTAAGAATTTGTCTGAGAATTGGTATTTGTAGGTTATAATGGGTCCTAGTTCGTGTGGCGAAACATTGTTATATAGGTTCACGCTTTGGTATAGCCCCCATATAACGGTATCTCCCGATATTCGGTATTTTGATGGTTTTTGTCACATTTTTTTCACGGATTTGTCTAAAAGTTGGAATTAGTTGGTCGTAATGGGTTCTAGCTCCGGTGGTGAAACATTGCATGTATAAGTCCACGATTTCGTATAGCCCCCATATAACGGTATCTCCCGATATTCGGTATTTTAATGGTTTTTGCCACATTTTCCCACGAATATGCCTAAAAATTGGTATTTGTGGGTCATAATTGGTTCTAATATTTCCATTACCCTAAGGTGGAGGGTTTCAATTTTATGTTTTTTTTACTTGTTTTTAAATTCGCTTTGAAAAAAATTTTTTTAACAATCCCGGAATTTTTAATTAAAATTAGAAATATCTGTAAAAACTTAAAATTGAAATAAAAAATTTTAAATAATCGACGACACAAGCAAAGATTTCTATAAAATCAATATTAAAAATTTAAAATTTTTTTTTTATATCTACGATTTGGAAAAATTTTATTATTTAAGATTTCTTAAAAAATAATACATTTATAAAAACCCAGATTTAAAAAAAAATATTAAAAGAAACGACAGTATAAAAAAATATTCTTAAAAACTTTACAGTATCGAAAAAATATTATTAAAAAAACTACGACGTAAAAAATGTTCTAATAGTTTTGGAAAAAGAAAAGAAATTCTCTATTTAAAAATCCAAATTTTTAGAAAGCCACAATTGTTGGGAAATCATGTTTAAAAAAATAATTTTTTGGAAAAAAAAAGCTGTAAGTTCGGCAGGGCCGAAATTTGAATGCCCTCCAACCTTTGGTACAAATTTGGCAATTAAAAAAAAAATAAAACCCGTTAAAAATTCTGTTAAAATCTTAAAATACCGAATGTAGCCTTATATTAGGGTCTATACGACGACGTGGACCTACATAGGCAACTTTTGTCACAAGCTATTACAATATTCAACTGCGAAACTTGAAAAAAATAATCTGTTTATAATGTAGCTAAAATCATCAAAATACCGAATATAGGGAGGTACCATGGGGGTTATAAAACGTAGACCTACACAGACAATTTTCTGTCATAGGCTGTAGCATCCATTACGAACATCAAATGCTAAATTTGAAAGAATTCCGATGAATGTTGTCGCTAAAATCATCAAAATACCGAATATCGGGAGGTACCGTTATATGGGGGCTATACCAAAACTTGGACCTACATACGAAAAGTCCTGCAGACATAATACACATTTGAGTACAATTTTATCAATCTACTTCATTTTGTTCGGAAGCTAGAGTGATTTCCACGGACGGATAGACGGACGGTCATCGCTAAATCGACATAGAATTTTATGCGGATCAAGAATACATATACTTTGTGGGGTCTAAAATGTATATTTCGAGGTATTACAAATGGAATGACAAACTTAATATACTCTCCATACTATGGTGGAGGGTATAAAAACTATTTTTTTTTTGTGAGTGTATACAATTTGTACAGAGGTAACACCAATCAATGTGTAATATAAAATGTATTTACTCATAAAAATGTTTGCATAAGAATTACTATGATCCGATTAAGTTGAGTTGAGTATAGAATTTTGTGGTTTTGCTGTAGCCTAAAATTGAGGACGTTACTGCCAACTAATACACTTTGAATATGGTAAATGAGATATTTGCTGATGTTAATATTACGCTTTATAGCTTACTTCAAAGACGTTTGTTGTAACTCTCTCTCTCTCTCTCTCATCTCAGTAGACATGTGAGAAAATTCTCTTAAAATAGCATATCAAAACTAGTAAAGAAAGTCCTAAAGTCGGGCGGAGCCGATTTTATGATACCCTACACCACTTTGCTAATTTAGTTGAGCTCCACTTAATAATTAAAAGTTTTTATGGGAGAATTCAATGATACACGCTATGATTATAATTGTAATTTAAAATTCAATGGAATAAATATGCCGAAGCATTTGTATCTTTTAAATTCGGACTCGTATTGCCCATTTGGTGCACAATTAATTTGAAATCGGATTAAAATATATATGGAAACTATATCCAAATCTGAACCGATCTCGATAAAATTTGGCAAAGATATTTCTGAGCTATATTTGATATATTTCCCTGAATATCGTTGTTACGGAGTGCATATTACGGCTGTGGGTAACAAATACAATAAATCGGATGAACAATATATATGGGAGCTAAATTCGGTCGTATGTGCCAAATTCCATCCCATTTGGACAAATATTAGACTAAATTCGGTCGTATGTGCCAAATTCCATCCCATTTGGACAAATATTAGACGTTTGGTGCACAATAAATGGTAAATCGGACGAAGTTATATATGGGAGCTATATCCAAATCTGAACCGATCTCGATAAAATTTAGCAAAGATATTTCTGAGCTGCATTTGATATATTTCCCCAAATATTGTTGTTACAGAGTGCATATTTCGGCTGCGGAGGACAAAAATAACAAATCGGATGAACAATATATATGGGAGCTATAGCTATATCTGAACCGATTTCAATCAAATTTGGCAGGCCTAATTTGGATGTATGTGCAAAATTCCATACTTTTCGGGCTGATATTACACGTTTGGTGCACAATAAAAGGCAAATCGGACGAAGATATGTATGGGAGCTATATCTAAATTTTGACCGATTATTTTTCAATAGGGTTCGTCCTTGGGCCAAACAAATGTTGTATGCAAAATTTCATCTCAATCGGATAATAATTGCGACCTGCATTTTGTTCACAAGAATACATGGACAGACGGACTGACATGCATAAATCAACTCAGAAAGTGATTCTATGCAGATCATCAAAGGAACTATGGGTCTATCTCGTTTCCTTTTGCCTGTTACAAACAAATGCACAAAGACATAATACCCTGACCACCTTGTGGTGTAGGGTATAAATATTCCAGAGATAATATTTTTGTTAATACACAAATGGCTACAGCTGCAAGTAGGTGAATTTATCTTTGTAATTATCACCTAAAAGGAATGTTCTTATCTTATCTTAAGATGATATGTAAATTTTTCCACAATGGACCAAATTTTTTTTAATTTAAAAATATTTATTCACATTCATACATTCAATATTTTAAACATTTGTTTGTACTTGAAAAGTACATTATTTTTGGCAATAAAAAAGAAAAGAAAAAACCTTTCGTATCAAATTTACACCCACCTCCATTAAGCGTGAATGATTGATGTTATCGGTTGTTATTGTTAATCCATTTTTTAATAAATTTATTTAACAAGTTGATTGACCGATTTTTGTTAGCGGCAATGAAAAAAAAATGATATGACACCTTCCGCTTAATGTTCAATGAGTTTCAAATTGCTACTAGCAATCACCAAAAAATTCTGTTGACTTTCGATTTTTTTCTTTTTTATGACACCACTAGAAAGGCCGGCTATATTCGATATTTTTAAGATGTTAACAGAGTTTTGAACGGATTTTATTTTTTGAAAACTTCCAAATGGTGGAAGGTACTGAAAGTTCAGCACTACCGAACTTACTGCTGTTTATTATACACTCAGCCATACGGCTATAGAGGGTATATAACATATGATACTCCCAAAACGTTCCTCATCGAAATAACGGGTTTAAACCCTAGGTCTCTTTGGACTAAATCCATTTCGGAACATTTGGACTCGATCTTGCGATGTCTGTCCATCAGTCCGTCTGTATGTCTGGCCGCACGATAACTCTCGAAAGGCGTGTTCGATTTGATCCAAACTTCGTACATCGTAATATTATTATCAAACTTAGATCGAGTTCGGAGATGGACAATGTCCACGCTTCCTGTAACTCCAACACAAAAAGTCAAAATTTTGACAGAAAATAATTTACCTCACAGAACAAGAAAGGAGCAACGGATTTTGTTCAAACTTTGCAAATCCTAATATATGTATCTGTGCTGAGTTAAGTGCGAAAATGGACAATATGGACCGACTGTTTCTAGTAACTCTCTCACAAA